TGGGAGGGTGGGTGACACAGGGCTGGGGACGTGGGGCTGGGAGCGAGGTATGGGTCCGGAACGGGGGCGCGGGACGGGCTGGGGACAGGGACATGCGGCTGGGGACAACGGTATACGCTGGGAACAGATGTATGGGGCTGAGGGATGGGGATTTGGGACTGTGAACAGGGATATAGGCTGGGGACAGGGACATGGGGCTAGGGACAAGGATATAGGCTGGGAACAGAGATACAGGGCTGAGGCAGAAGGACTTGGGGCTGTGGAGAGGGATATAGGCTGAGGACTGCAGACAGGGATACAAGCTGATGACAGGGACAATGACTGGGGTCAGGACGTGGGGCTGCAGGCAGGGATATAGGCTGGCAGAGAGAGACATGGAGCTGGAACCGAGAAATGGGCTGGGAATGGGGTTACAGGGCACAGGGACATGGGCCAGGGAGGCCCAGGACAGGCCCACACCCGGAGGGGTGGTGGAGAGGGGCATAGGGCTGAGGGCATGCTCTGGGGCTGGGGGAGACAGGGGTACCTGTGGGGGCTGTTTAAGGGGGTCCAATGTCTTTCTAACAATGGTTGTCATCTTCTTATAGGAAATTATAACATTTATCTTACAGAGGAGGTGTTCCAGAGGGGGGGTCGGGGCACCACATGCTAGGATGAGGGCATCCTGACTGGAAACGATCTCATCACACTTCCCCAAACTCCCATGACATCATCCCCAGACTGCCCTGACATCACCACCCTCCTTGGCCAGGATGGAGACAGCAAGTTACTCATGGGAATGCTCCTCTCCCATCCCATACACCCCATAGAACATCCTCCAGGAGCTGCCCTTTCACCTCACACAAAACATTCAGGGCCGTCCCGTTGCCCCACAATCCACACCCCACTGGCACAAAGCACCAGGCCAGGAGGTGGACCCGCAGTGGTCCTTCTGCTCTCCTGGAGGCAAGTGGGAAGCACAATGCCCGTGCCCTGCCTCTGTCCCGGTGGGTTCCACTTCCAATGGCTCCCCAGTGCTGGTCCTGGTCCAGCCGTGTCCCATCGTTCCCCCCGCCCGACTCCATCCTGTTCCCGTCCTGGTCCCACCGCTCCCCCCGCCCTGTCCCTGTCCCACCGCTCCCTCTGTCCCATTCTAGACCCCATCCCGTCCCGTTCCCATCCCGATCCTGTCCCCTTCCCGTCACGGTCCCACCGCATCCCCCGTCCCGTTCCCATCCCGGTCCTGTCCCATTCTTATCCCTGTTCCCCCGTCCCGTTCCCGTCCCGGTCCTGTCCCGTTCCATCCTAGTCTTGTCCCGTTCCCATCCTGGTCCTGTCCCATTCCTGTCCCTCTACCCCGTCCCGTTCCCATCCCAGTCCTGTCCTATTCCCATATCGGTCCCGTCCCGTTCTCACCCCGGTCCCGTCCCGTTCCCGTCACGTTCCCACCGCTCTCTCCGTCCTGTTCCAGTCCTGGTCCTGTCCCGTTACCGTCCCTGTCTCACCGCTCTACCCGTCCCGTTCCCAACCCAATCCTGTCCCATTCCCATCCCGGTTTTGTCACGTTGTCATCTCGGTCCTGTTCCATTCCCGTCCCTCTCCCCCCGTCCCGTTCCCCTCCTGGTCCTGTCCCGTTCCCATCTCAGTTTTGTCCCGTTGTCATCTCGGTCCTGTCCCATTCCCGTCCCTCTCCCCCCGTCCCGTTCCCCTCCTGGTCCTGTCCTGTTCCCATCTCGGTCTTGTCCCATTCCCATCCCGGTCCTGTCCCATTCCCATCCCGGTCCTGTCCCATTCCCGTCCCTCTCCCCCTGCCCGTGGCGCGTTTCCTCCTCCTGGCCGCCAGGGGGCGCTCCGCCCCGTGCCGCCGTGCCGCGGGCGGCGCTCTGGCCCCGCTTTGTTGCCGGGAGCTGATTGGTGCGTGGCGGCGGTGACGCCATTCCCGGTGGCCGCGCTGTGCTTGCGGGACCC